AAATATATTAAAAAATAATATAAATTATGTTTGATAAAAAAAAATTAATTCTATTGATATAGAACATTTCAAAGAAGAAGAAAATGGGGATGCATAATTTTCTTTATTATGATTAATTTCCCGTTTAAAGAATTTATCGTTATTAAATTATTGATCCAACGCGAACTGTCTTGCTATTGGATATTGTTTTCTGCTTGTTACCTATATTCTTCTCTTAAAAGAAGAGTAAATTATGAATTAATCCCTTTAACTTGAAAAACAATTAATTAATCCTTCAATCAGTACTGGTCATTTTAATTATATTTATTTTTTTCAAAACATATCTTGTTTCCTTGTTTTCCTCTTCAATCTTTCATATTCTCTATCTTATTTCTATTTCTTAAAAAAAAATAAAGAAAAAAACCGAAAAGGGTGGAAAAGATCAAATTATAAATATATTAGAAAACACAGAGACTAATTAATTATTTTTTTAACTTAAAAGGATTGTTTAATTTATTTTATAAAACTATAAAAACTAATATATAATTTACTAAAAAAATATGCATGACATATGCACTTATACAAAGATGTAATTGTTAATATAATATACCCATGACATATGCACTTATACAAAGAAAATGCATAACGTCGGCAACATCTACAAACACGTAATTTTCAATAATACATTTACTAAATAAACCTACGCCTATCATCTGCACATATATTCTTACTAATATAACCGTCACTTTTCTTCGTGTGCTAATTAATAACATATCATTATGGTTGTGTTTAAATAGTGTTTCTGCTTGTTTGAAAGTAATTTTTTTAAATGAATTATTTTTTAAATATAAATTATTTTTAATATTTGATAGTATTATAAAAAATAAATTGAAAAATATTTTTTAATATTTAGCTATATCATGAATAATGAGTTGAAAAATAATTTATTAATATTTTCTTCAAGTTTATTAAAATAATAAGAAATAAATAGGTTGAATTAGAATGAAATTAAAAAAAATAATTTCATAAATTATTTTAAATTAAATAAATTAAAATTAAAATAATAAATATCAAATTTAATAGTTAAAAGATGATAAAATAAAAAATAATTTTATAAAAAATAAATTGAAAAATATTTTTTTTAATATTTGGCTATATCATGAATAATGAGTTGAAAATTAATTTATTAATATTTTCTTCAAGTTTATTAAAATAATAAGAAACAAATAGGTTGAATTAGAATAAAATTAAAAAAAAAATAATTTCATAAATTATTTTAAATAAAATAAATAAAAATAAAAATAATAAAGATCAAATTTAATAGTTGAAAGATGATAAAATAAAAAATAATAATTATAATATCAAAAATTATTTTAAATAAAATAAATAATAAAAAAATGAAGACCAAATGTAATAGATAAATAATTTCAATTAAAAAAATAATAAAATAAAAATAAATAACAATTATAAAAATAATGATCAAGGTTGATATAAAAATCAAATCAAATCAAATCCTATAATCAGCAAATAACATGATATTTTTAAATTTTTATAACTTTTAAAAAAATATTTTTCATTTAAAATAAAATAAAAATACTTTCTTGAAAACTAAGATATTTTTTTTTACCAGAAAGTATTTTTTGTTAATCAACTTTTATAATGAAAAACAAATATAAAAAATTATATTTTATAAAATAAACGGGACCTTGAGATAAAATAATAAATTTAGAGGTAATAAATATATATTTTGTTGAATAAAAAAAGACATAAAATAAAATTTTCACTAAAAATTATAAAATGAATCTAATTCATATATTTTTAAAACAGAAAGTATAGAAAAATATCTTTATACCCATATGCTCGTCTCTAAAAAGTAATCAAGTGTTATTTAAATGCATGTCTATAAACTATAACAAGGATGCCCAGATAATCACATCCTCATATTTTTTTTTTTAAAAAAAACATATTTATATTCTCAAAATCTAAAACAAAAAAAAACTCATACATTAATATATTTATTATAAAAAAACTAAGTTGTAAAGGAAAACATTGTGATGCGTTGCACCGAGCACATGTTTATAGTTTATTGGAGGTCACTGTAGCCAATTTTTTTGGTTTCTATCACTGGATTTTTTTATTTTTTTGTTTGAATCATGTGCTTTTGTTGCATCCTGTGAGTTAAGAGTTTCTTATATTTTGCATATTTTTTTTTATAATTAAATATTTTTGAGAAGATTTCTAGAAAATGGACCGGGGGATGGCCCATCTAGGATTTGCATGAAAAAGTACGGTTTAATTCACATATTCTTTGCTGATTTTTTTTTTCCTTTTAGTTTTATATCCAGGTCAAAAAAATTATTTTGTTTATATTTTAGTCTTTAAATTTAAAAAATAAGAGGGAAAGAGGTAAAAAAAACAAGAGATGGAGGAGAGAAAGTAACCGAATGACTATATTTCAACAATGAAAAAATTAATTTTAATATTAATAAGTTTAATTTAAAAAGATGAGTGTCGTTGTATTTTTTTTATTTTCATCACACTAGAAAAACTATATCATGGCTTTGGAATTTTTTTTTATTGGAGATTATTATTTTTTATTTCTTGACTGGTTAAAAGGTGGTTGGTTTTAGGTTATATATATATAATAAAGTTTATAGGGTGTTTCTTATATGTTATTAAGTGAAAAAAGAGTTGAAAATGGATTTTTTTTTTGCTATGAGATGTTAGAACCTTACACAGTTGTCTAAATCTTTTATATATATATATATATATATATATATATATATATAATGGAAGGGTCATCCACCCATTAAAAAGAAAAGGAAGTGACCAGGATGCAGGTTTGGCCTTTCAGGCCCCCGCACACCTAGCCTCCTTTATTATGTGCTAGACGCCTGTTCTTCTTTTGTAAAGACATTTTATGACTATTTTCCCCCTTAATACTAGCTAAATTCATTAAAATAAAATAATTAAAAATATATTTATGATATTATTTTGTTAAATACCATCAATTTTTACCTTTTTTTAAAAATAGAGTTACAACATTATTTTTATATTAGTAAGGGTTTTTTATTTTTTTTACAATCCTTTATGATATACTTTTATTTTTTAAAATTTTATTTGTTATCAAGTGTCTATTTTGATTATTAGTTAAATGAAAAATAAATTTCAAAATCTCATGGAGACAATGCGTGCAAAGTGTGTTATTAATATATTTTTTAATATATTCATGTCAAAATTATCAAAACACAGTTTTTTTTAATTAAAACCTGCTTTTATAATCATGATAAGTTGTTATTTAAAAAATAGAATTTTTGGTAAAAAAAGCTAGAAAAAAAAGGAACCATATTGATAAAATAAAACGGTTTTAATTACAGACATACTCTCTCTTTTTATTTCAAATCATCCAAACTTTTTTATATTTTTTTAACAGTTTTCGTTTTTTATCAAATACAAAACAGTTACTGTTGGGCGGTTAGGTCGTTGTCTGAATTTATTAAAATACTATAAAAAGAGCTTTATATAAACAAAAAGATTACGCGTGGTATTAAATTCGATAAGCCCGTTTTATTTAACTAGGTTAAAACAGTGGCTACGTCACGCCTTACCTGGCCAATTAAGCCAACAGTTGACCTTGATGAATTTGATCTAGTAGAAATTCCTAAATACTTTATTTATTCGAAAAATAGATCAAGGAGAGAGCCGAAAGAGAGGTGATCCAATAATGGAGTTTAAGTGTCCATTTCTTTCACTCCTACAATGGGAGAAATTAATAGTCCTATTTCCGTCTTCATGCAATCAAGAGCTCTGAGATTAGACTAGAATGAGCTACGAAAAATTAAAATAATATTTTTTAAAAAATTTATTTTTCATATAATATATCAAAACGATATAGAAATATCATAAGAATAATTTAAAATAAAAAAATATATTTTTATTCAAATCAAGCTGAAGAATTCAACGTGCTGCGGAAAGTTACTGAAATACAGCCAGTGCCCCAAAGCTAATTTCCAAAAGTGTGGACTGAGAAGTGGCCAATTCTCCTCCAAGAGAACCCCATCAAGAGGATGTGTGTGCAAATCTCGAGAGTTGAAACTTAGCAGGTAAAACTCGATGATCCATAAATCTAAAATCTGACTGGATTAAATTAGTTAAAAAAATTTATTGAAATAATATTATTTTAATTTTTTTAAAAATTAAATTAAAAATTAACCTGATTAACCTTCAGACCCTCAGTAGACAAGGAATCAGAAATTAAATATTACAACAGCGATGGAGAAGTCAATAGTGCAAGGGCTCTCCTAGACCTTTCATTCCAGTGTTCCATGCATGGCATGAAAGCATTCACAAGGACAGTCGATGCTGAGAACCACCATTGTAGTTAGAAATCGTATTAAAACGAACTTGACCTGTTTGCAGCGTGCTGCACTAGTAATACGAATAAAACTGTATTGAAGGTGTTTGTTATAAATCTCAAGAGAAAAGTTGAGCAGTAAAGAAGAGGGAGGAGGAAGAAATTGGAGAGAGAGAGACCAGGCAAGAATTAAGGGAATATTTTTGTTCATACTTCACACATGGCACCTGACTTGCCTATTTCATTGCTGTCAGACCTGCCCGTGTACAGTGATCCTTGCTTTGAGAATGGTTTGCTGAGAATTGGCTAAGCTTACCTAGTCCTCGTTTGAGAGTGTAAAAAGATTATTATTATTTTAAAAAAATATATCTTCTTCTTTTTTGAAGATTTATTTTTAATCCCTGCACATAAAAAAATATATATTCAAAACACTAAAAAAATAATTCAAAATTAAAAAAAATCAAATTTCTTTAAAAACATAATTGATCCAAAGTGCCAAAGAAAACCTAAAAGCCCTCCTCCCACTTAAAAAAAAAAAAACTGTTAAATATTATTAAATCAGTTATTTTTTATAATATCAATATAGTATTTTTTTTATTTCTTAATATTCATTTTTAACATTAATATATTAAAATAATATAATTTTTTTTTGAAAAAGTACGTGCTATTACAACAACAAACACACAATAAGACTCGTATCAGCTAGAATTGCCCATCTCCAAAGGTCCTTGCCTTCGTTTGTGATTGCAGAGAACATTCTAGGATGGTACGGGCAATTGAAACCCCATCCCTGGTGGAAACTTGGAATATCTCATCGAAATTGTAATTGAGCATGAGCACAAAACTATTAATCAAGGTTTTTGACTGGGAAGAGCTAAACAAAAGAACATGCTGAATAAGCAAGGAAGATCTTCGCAATTTGCCGAATCCCAAAATGGCACAACCAAATAATTGTTTAGCCAAACGGCAAAGAGCTCCTTTTTCGCACAAAATCCAATGATCAATCCCTCACACAGACTAGGCTGCAGAGTTCCCCAGCAGCATAGAGATTGGGAAGCTCAGACCTGGTCAGGATCGGAGTAAGAAATCACACACTCGAATCCATTTATGATCCTAAGTTTCCATCTGAACAGGATGGATTTCATGGCACATGCCCTCCAAAATTCAACACCTTCCAAATGAAAATAGAATCTCAACAACAAGATTATCAAAATGTAATACAGCAGCCTCAATCATACAAAACTTAGCTAACCTAAATTACGAAATAAAGTCAGCAAGAGATGAAAATGTCAATAGCATTATTAGTGCATGCAAATTAAATATGTTTCCTCCTGATCCTCCCCTTTCCATGGTTCTTCTTTCTTGACAGCTTCAATTTCTTTTTTAGCTTCTTCCCTATAGGCTTCAAAGACCTCTTTGTTTGATTGCCATCGTCCAATTCCATATCTGTTGTGGGGCCAAAGCAAGATCATAGTCAACATATTGAGATTTTTGAACGTGCTACCAGGAAATTTATAGTCATTAACTCGTTGAATTTTTAAATTTGCTCCTGACAGATGAGATATCAATCTATTGCTAGTTGCAATAAAATTTGAAAAGGGGGAAAAAGAATTGAGGAAAAGCCACAAACATAAGAAACTGGAAAATCTATAAGATCATCAATTGAGCTTTCTGAGCAAAAGTGTCGATTCTAGCACTGTAAAAAAGGAAAGCACTCGTACGCAAAAGAAGTGTGATTTTAATAACCACAGAAATTATCAATTGAACCACACTCCACGCTTATAATCATCCTGTAACCAATTGTGTCAATCTACTTTTCAAAAGATCTACACTGACAAACAAACAAGATTTCATTTATTCAAGCAACTCTAAAAACAGAGTGTAAGAAGCCTACAAAGGAAGCTGTAAGTTTGTAATCACAGATATTCATGTGAGAAATACACCATTTGTTTCATCAAAGGCAATTGCATACCAAGAATAGAAACAAAATTAAATTTCCAGAGAACCAAACCAAGTAAAATATGAATCAAATACCTATATAATACACAGGATTCGCCTCATAGAGAAGATTAGATTGCTCAACACATAATTTCAGACATATGCTTGTCTTTGATGCTAGTCTAATCATCGGCCAATAAACTATCACAACAAAATGAAAAAAAAAAAACAAAAAAAGAGAGATTAAAATGAAAGAGACTCAGAATATGGGTGGATGGTCGTCAAGGCCTGTAAAAGCCAATTACGACGATGGAGACCTTTCCCACTGAAATCATCACAGTCCCTTCCGCATCCTCACAGGGAGGAAAATAAACACAGAAACTCCTAAATCAACAACCAAACAATGTGAAGATGTAGAAAAAAGTAAACACCCTACATGAGGATCTAATAATTAGGCTTAGAAACACCTTGTAGCCCTTCTCAGTTGCTAATAAGGAGTAAACCATCATGGGCAATCACAATTTATGCCAAGAAGAATCTAGTAGCCACTTGCAGATACTTCGTTCAATTCTAGTAACAACCCCTAAATGAGGAATTTATAAATAATGTTCTCCGTACTAATGCATTACTACGAGTTAGCATAAAGTAGACATCAATTATCAAATTCCAGTATTCAACAATGATGACATGACCATTAAAACTTAATTCCAAACCCATATGAATTCCTCGTTTAACCTAAATAATCAACAAGAGAAAAAAGAACCAAAGACAGAACATATCATAGTAGAAAAAAGGAAACGAACGAAACTAGACATACCAATTTGAGTATCTGTGGTGGAGGTGGTGGTGGTGGTGGTTGTTGTCGTTGTGTCCATAGCAGTAGAAGAGGAAGAAGAAGCGAATGGAGAGGTTTTAACTGGAAGCTTGGGAGCTGCGAGGGCAGCTTCTAGAACAGCAAACTTCGCTTCATCTTTCTTGTCACAAAGAGGCTGTACTAGATCTCTCCTTATTGCTCGTAGCCTCTTCTCTCTCTTCGATCTCATAGATTTCGCCATTTTTTTCGAACAAGCTTTGCTTCGGCGTAGAGGTTTTGGTGGCTTAGCTTCAGGGCTGCTAGGGTTTTGTAGGTTTGTGTGATTTTAATCGGTGAAGCGATTAGAGGATGTTTGGTTTTGAGGATTAGTATTTCTATTTCCGGATTAGGATTTGCTTGTACGAGTTCAAATGAATCTCAGCCCTTGAATGGCTTTATTAGAACTAGAATCCTCACTTTTTCAATTTTGGCTAATTGGTCCAAAGATCTCCCAAACTTGAGGTTAAATCCAACTAAACCCTTTACTTTTTAATTTTTTTTTTAATTCCAATCTCTCGAATTACCAGGTCAAGGCAATGATGTAGTACAGCTGTACAAAATCCAATATGGCCCTGCATGCTAACCTGGAATCTAAATCGGTTTAGATTAAAGAAGAAGAAGAAAAATTTAACTTAATCTAATTTAATAAAAAAATCTATATTAACCCGAGCAAAATTTAATCAAAATAAATTAACTTTTAATTAAAAAAACAATCAAAATGATATTATTTTAATTATTTTAATAAATTTTTCTGAGCTTCAACTTGCGTTTATACGGGCATGCCTCAAAAGCACAGCATACCCCCGTGAGAGGCTTTCCACGATTATGGCTGCTATCGAAAATCTTACCACTCTCCAATTTCCCGACATGATGTGCCTGTGCATTTGTGCATCCACATAATTAAGTACCCGGGTAAGCATATAAAAAACTGCAAATCTCCAATATATCACATGGTTATGTTTTAAAACCGGCTTAGGTGTGATTCAAATATGATGGTATACACTATATAGCTCATAAAAATTGCCAAACGGTGACTGCCCACAAAAACTTGTGGACATAACTAACGATTTTGGTTGCCTGCTTTTCTTCTGAAGTATGAAATGGCTAAGAAGGAAGGAATTTCATAATTACCTTAACGAGCTGTCCCTTGACAGCCTCAGGGCCAGAGCCCACAGTTTTTTCGAAGAAGGCAAGCCCGGAAGGAGTAACTGTTAGTTCACAAGGAGCTTCTTCCGCTGTTGCTCTGAGCTGTAGTTGTAAAGTAACATCAAGGAAGCTTTTGCAGAAGCTGTAGTTGTAAAATACTTCTCTTCTCTTGAAAAACGTTTGTCTTTTACTCCCTTAAATCTGAAAGAGAGAAACAGAATTGGGTTCTTGAAACAGTAGTCTAGGGGTGGAACTGTTAAAAAGAAAGCTATCAAGATTCAAGCACAGTCCAGTTTACAATAACAAGAAATATTTTACAGGATACGCTTCTAATGAAGCATATTTTGTGAAATCATAATTTCCTTTTACAGTCTGTAAACCTCAGATACTGTTAGCAGAGCCAGAAATCCCAGTGTTAAAACGTTGATGTGATAGATTTCTTTGTCCTGTAAATAAAACCACCATATCTTTGGAGATTCTGATTGCTAAAAAGAACATGCGACAAACAAAAACATCCTGGTTGTAGCCTTGGTGCTAGCTTGTGATGGCATTCCCCCATTCTGATTTTGCCAGAATCCCAAATGAGATCAACTTTGATGACAATAAGTTTCAAGGGAGATGCAAGTGAAAAAGATTCGAGTCCACGCTGATCTACTTGATGAGTAGAAAACAAACAAAACCTACCTCGAAATTATGATAAGAAAACCAGTAGAACTGATTATTTCACCTTGATTTAATGAAAAATCGCAAACAAAAGTATATATGAATACATCGACGTGTAAATAACACTAAAAGTCCAGCTGATTTATGGATCCAAGCTGAAGAGCAAAGGTTAGTCAACCTCGAATTGTCACTAGTCACCATCCAAAACAAATGACAGAGCACTAAGCCTAAAAATTCTTCTTCCCCAGTGCCCATGTTCATCTTCTGAGATTCTGTTGACTCAAGAATTTTAAGAATAGAAACGAAGTTAGATGGAAATCAAGAATATGCGATCGTCTCTCTATGAACAAGAGACAGTAAGCCCATTACAATCAGCATGCGGTTTCATTAATTAGCGCACAGTTCTTCGGTCTTTATGTGCTGCCTGAAGACAGGAAAACTGAGCTCTCGATAACAGTAATCCACTTCAGATACAGCTAGAGCCCCTGGCTTTTCTCACATTTTGGTTAAGCACTAAATTCCTCACCCTTTCTGCATCATCCCATTTCTTATTTAAAGCATACAAATCAGATACAAGACTATAAATCCCTCCATCATTCTCTGGTTTTATATCCCTCAAGACCTGCCCTATCACTCTATCAGCAATGTCAAATTGATTATGCATCTTGCACGCTGATAAAAAGGAACCCCAGATGACAATGTTAGGCTCAAATTCCATCTCTTTAATAACCTCATAAGCTTCTTCTAACAACCCTGCCTTACCAAACATATCAACCATGCATCCATAATGCTGAATTCTAGGCTCCAAACCAGTCTCTTTGATCATTTTAAAATACTTGCGACCCTCTTCAATCAACCCCTCACGCGCACAGGCATTAAGAATCCCCGTGAAAGTCATCTCGTTAGGCCTAACACCTGCTTCTTGCATCATCTTAAACAACGATAACACCTCTTGACAAAAGCCGTGTTGCGCTGCACCACATATCAATGCAGTCCAAGTCGAGACATTTCTTTCTTGCATCAAAACAAAAACCCAGACAGCATTCTTCAAGAATCCACACTTGGCATACATGTCAACAAGAAGCGTGCCAATATCCACGTTCAACTCCCACCCATTCTTCACTACAAAGCCATGAACTGATTTCCCAGCTAACAATCCAAGAGAACCCATGTGTGCACAACCCGATAAAACAGAACCTACAGTCACTTGGTCTGGTTTTGGGTTCTCATTAGCCATCATTTCTCGAAAAAATGACAACCCTTGATCCCGAAACCCATTATTAATATAACAGGTAATCATGGCGGACCATGAAGCTGCATCCCTCACAGGCATAGCCTCAAAAAGAGAACGTGCTTTATTGATACTCCCTGACCTTGAATACCCAGTAATCATCGTGTTCCATGTAACTATATTTCTCTGAGGCATTTCATCGAACAAATCACACGCTTGATCAAACGACATGACAGCGTATGCATGCAGGAGGCAAGTGGAAACATAAACATGTGTATTGAAGCCAAGTTTGATTATATGGGAATGCAAGTGGTGAATTATTGTGAGGTTCTTGAAATGAGTACATGATTTTAGAGTAAATAGTATTGAGAAGGTATCAAAAGGTATGGATTGGCGGTGCATATGAGTGTAGAGTTGCAATGCTTTGAGAGGAGAAGAGGCGTTTTTTATGGCTAAAACCCATGTGTTGTAGCTTTTTCTGGGAATTTGCCATTTTGTGGATTTGAGGAAGTGTGAGAGAGGAACTAGCATGGCTCATTGCGTGGAGGTGGTGCTTAGTTCCATTAAAACAGTGCAATTGGCATGGATGAAGAAGAGTCGAAACCAAAATGACAATAATTTCATTGGCTTGCTTTAACACAAGCCGATACAGGCATCGAATCAGCGGAAACGAGTTGGGAAACAGCTATCACCCAGTGTTGAGTTCAAAAAATAATTAAGTAGGTTGGGAGGATGACTAATTCTTCGGACTGTTTATTTTTTAGAAAAAGATAAAAAAAAGAAAAAAGAAAGAATTTCTCAATTAAAATTGTATGTACTGACAGATAAACCACTATCTTGTAGTTTAAAAAACCCAATAGACTATTTTGTTTTTAATTATTTTTTAATGTGAAATATATCTTATAAAAAAATCTATCTTGCATGCTTAAAAAACTCTTTATTAATAACAATTTCATTATTATATTGCTCTAATTTTTAATAATTTATATTTAGGTAAAGAGTGAAATTACACTAATTTACAGTAAGAACAATAAAAGTTTTAATATACACACACACACAAACACACCCATAAACGCTTGGCGTCTTTCCAAAGGCCAGGCGAGGGGGCTTGTCGGCTTGACGTTCTATACCCATTAGCGCTTGACTTTTTTAAAAAATCCAGGCTCTTATGTTTTAGTTTCAAATTGTAAGGAGATGTTTTTTTTTTTTTTTAAGCTGGAAGAAGAGGTGAATTTCCTGCTCACCTCTTCACAAATACTTGTAAACTCCTTACGGATACTTATAAAAAAAAATATTTATTATTTTAATTTATTTTTTAATAATTTATTTTTTAATATTAAATTTATAATTTATTTGGTACTTATAAAAAAATGTTTTTTTATTTGTTATTTTAATTTATTTTTTAACATTTTATTATTTAATATTAAATTTATAATTTATTTTAATTTATATTTTATAAGATTATTCTAATGATCTAATTTATAGATTTAACAAGTTAGTTTAAATATATTTATACTATTCTAGTTTTATGATCTAGTTTACAGATTTAACAAGTTAGTTTAAATATATTTATATTTTTTTAAATGATTTTTTTAATTTTAATTTTTAATGTTGGATTGATTTTAAATTAAGCTGAATAATTTATTTTGAATAATTTTTTACAAGTTTATCTTATTTTCATTATTCAAGTTGCGTGTTTGACATGTTAATATGAGTTGACTCAAATTGTCTTTTTATTTTTTTATTTTTTTTTATTTTTTTTTATTATTTAATTATTTTGAATTGATTGAAAATTAAATTTTAAAATTTATTTTGATTTGATTTTTATAAGGTTAATAGAGTTTATTTCGGTTGATTCAAGTTGATCTAATATATTATTATTTTGATAATTAAAAAATTATTATTTTAAAATTTTATTTTAAATCAAATTTTATTTTAATTAATTATTTAGATTGATTTTAAATCCACGAGCATATCATTTTGTATCAACATAACTTTCGTGTAGTTAAATCTTTTTGTACTGTGTATTTTCTTTTATGTTAAAAATTAAATAACTTGACTTACTGGTACACTTTTGACGCTATTTGGACAAGGGACAACGCTACGCGATCCGTACGAACAAGAAATGACGTGGACATTCTTGTTGAATGTTGAAATACGGAGATAAATCAATGGGCTGTCCAGTCGGGGACATCCGATAAAAAAAAAGAAAAAAAAAGAGAGAGGATAAATGAATGGGTTAATCATGGAAAATGACACCAATTTGCTAATTAAAAATTAAAGAAGGTTAACTACGTAGGCAGTGACTAAATAGAAAAAATTAAGAATTAAAAATTTTATCTTTTTGTAATTTTAAATTTGAGTTATTAATTATTTATCACCGAAAACTTATATAGTTATTAATTTCAGAGTCCATAAAATTATAATTTTATGGTGCATGCAAGTTAATTAGAGGATAAATGAATGGGTTAATCATGGAAAATGACACCAATTTGCTAATTAAAAATCAAAGAAGGTTTTTCGAAAACATCTTACGACACTGCCTTGAGTTTATAGGAATACAGTCTAGGAATTAGTATTAATTATAAATAAATCAAGACGTCTAAGGAATATAATTATTAGCCATACTTACGTGCCAAATTAAATGAGAGATATTTTGAGACGACAGAGACACAAAATTAGTGGGGGGGAGGGGAGGGGGCTCCGGGGACTACAGAAGGATTTATTACATATTGAGAGCTTGACAAGTGGGGATAATCAATTTTGTTTGGCTTTTGATTATTAAAAACTTAAAAGAGATAATCATGGAGTTGTCGGTAAAACTCTAATCTAAAGATATTGAGATTTCATAATGGAACGGTGGTCCATATCGTCTTGAATTTGTTATCTAGAAGTTTAACCATCAAATTAAAAGCAGTGCCCCCCCACATGCAAGCCCCACTCCCTCAACATTAGCGAAAAAAAAAAGCCAAGCTTAATTGACTGCTGCAAAAACCAAGGCCAGGTCTCTTTTTTTTTGTCAATTGATTAAAGAACAGGACTATATATTGTGGTTTAGCCTCTTGGATCTGTGTTCTAACCTTCTCAATCTAGTTACAGAACAGAGCTATATGGTTTCTGTGCTTAACTGAACCATATATATATAGCTGTCTGGGTCAATATATGTCTACGTGAGCATATTATATACTTGTATAAATACTTTTCACGTATATCTGCAGCTAATTATATATGGTCGCATATTCTGCTACTATACCTTCGAGCTAGTTTTCGTTCAATCTATAACAAATCTAGCAGGTTATGATTGTATCTCTACAAAATATATATATATATA